AAAAAAAAAAAAAAAAAAAAAAAAGGCTTCTCTGTAAGGTAATCCTTTTAGAGATACACAAAGTGATTATCTAGTGCATTTGGCTTTGAGAAAACAATCTGCTTTTATGCACTTTGGATTTAATAAGCCATGTTAAGAATTCACCATATTCATGCTCTACCCTCTAAAAGATTACTATCAGTGATAGTTAACACTCTTGTCAAGTCACAAACACTTTGTGCACTGGCATATCGTTTGTAAATTACCTTTGAAATAGCCTCTTTATTAGTTGTATTGGTGCTAGTAGCACTCTATATTTTAAAGCATTACTTGAGATTTACTAAAAGCAGGATTAAAATCTATTTCATGATTTAATCATTGCATTTACCTTCTGGATTAAATATAACTTCTCAGAGGACCCAGACATTTCAGTAATGTGTTTGTTAAAACACTCAGTCTTGGAAAGGAGATGTCTCCAAAGTTTACTCTCCAAAAGCCTGCTTTTGCCTTTCCTTTACTTAAGGGATCATAGTCCAGATAAATTCCAAGTACACAATTCTCCTCATATTTCAGACATTGCTACTTTTCAGATTTTACTGTATCTAGATAGACTGTCATAGGTACCAGCATTCACCAGTAACTTCCAGTCTCCATCACTGCTTCACCAGTCATCCTCCCTTGGCTCCCTCCATGGTTCCTGGCAACAGGCCTCCGTGGTTATGTGCTTCCTGCTACCAGTCTCCCTGCAACTGGATTATCCTCAGTAGTAGTAATCCAAGTCCAAATGCACTGACTTAAATCTTACATATTCACAGTGAGTTTGCACCAAAAATTGCTTTTATAGAGCTGTAGACCTCTGTTCCCTAATATCTTTGCCTGTGAGTATCCTCTTCTCCACTACATCCCCAGTGCTGTTACCAAACAGGAGGGATAGTGTCTTAGACAGTTGCCTGAGAAGGCAGATTATTCATCAAGTAAAACATAGTTGTTGAAGCTACACAGAGACCTCTTTTGTTTCCCTGTTGGATGGGGAAAGCCTTAAGTGCACCCATATATGTGCCAGAATTCTGCTCCAATATGTGCTAATTAGCACGTCAGAGCAGGCTCAATTAATTGAGTCTGCTGGAGTGTGGTACTTAACATACTCTAGCAGCCTTTGCGTCACATCTATCCAGTGTCCCTTCAAAATGGCTGCAGGGGTGCTTGAACTACAGCTCACTGAACACCAAAATGTTGTGAATGGCAAAAACTACTTTTAGCACATCAGACAGTTGGGGAGAGGGACTGTGTTAATTGAAAGCTGGGGAGCTAAAGGAAAGCTCTGTGACCCAGATGTCCATACCCTTATCTTCTCTGTAATCATTGGGCACCTATACATGTACTCGGGGGCACGGTGGGTGCTTTAATTTAATTAAAGTGCTTGCAGAGTCGCATGTATCAGCATCCCCACCCCCACTTCAAAATGGTGGTGGGACACTTGAACTAAAGTTTGTCGAACAAGCACTTTAATCAGAGTGGCTCTTGGAGCCTTTCTAATTAAAGCACCCTCCCCTCCATCTCAGAGCACATGGATACCCAATGATTATAGAGAAGATAAGGGCATGGACAGCTGGGTCACAGAGCTTTCCTTTGGCCTCTTAGCTTTCAATTAACTCTCTCTTTCCCCAATTGTCTGATGTGCCAAAAGTAGTTTTTGCCATTCACAACACATTTTAATAAAGCCACAGGTAAAACATTTTTGGTGGGAGGTAGGGAACTGCCTTAGTTGTTTAAAGTCTTTTATCACTCTATCTGTAGTTTTTGCCTCCTTTCCCTTATTTCTTTCTCTACTCCTAACCTTGGCTTTAGACCTGCCTCTAACACAAGTACTGCTACCACATTATAGTTTTGAGCATGGCAACAAGTACCATTGACGATCTGATCTCTGTGCACCAATGAGAAAATATTCAGAGAAAATAAGTAAAGCACTTGCAGAGCTTCAAATAGTTTGTTGATGAGACAGATGTACATTCTTGGTGAACTCTGAAACCTCTGTACATGGCATAAGGATCTGAGGACTGTTTTCACTTTGATTGTTAATGTGCAGAATTTTGTGGCTTAAAATAAAACCCTGGAAATTTTACAAGTACATTTCTAGTAACTTCTGTTGGTATTTTACAATACACTTAAAAATCAATTCGCTTTTCTATAAAGTGTGGCAACATAGCTTGTCAGGCAGGTGTCAATCCACAGTATAAAGCTATAACATAGTGCTTCTTGGGTTTTGCTTCCACAATAAGATTTCTTTCCAGGCCCCCTGAGGACTTGTGTATTACAAAATACTGTGTCTGTACAGAACATTTAAATGCTCTTAGTTTTTCATTTAGAAAACAACATAGATTACAATCTGATAATTTCTCAAGATGCTTATGCCTAACACTAAGTAAATAAAAATGTACACACACTATGGTATCTGGTTGGATAACTAGACAGGATTATTATGTATTCAACCTCCAAGAAAGGAAAATATGTTTCCTGTAATTACCAGGACAATTTATGTTGTGGCTTCTCTTGATCATCTTTCACTACAAAGCTGATTTAACTGTCCTAAATTAAATCATGGTGGACCTGTACTCCAGACAACACTGAGTCATAAAAGGGGTGAATGTAGTTCAGTGTGTTCACTAGCACAGACTAACAGATATAATTAACTAACTATCCAAATAAATCATACTTGTCTCCTGACTCATGGGCCACATCCACACATGAAGGCATGTGTGGTTTATGGCACCACAAACTGCAAGCATTGAATGTTAAAACATGTACCACGCTGGTAATTTGCAGTGCAGTGTCAACATTTGCTACTGGGATTTCCCAGTAGCAAAAATAAAAAAAATGCTGGAAAAAATGCAGTGCAGAGCATGTGTAAAAAGTGTATGCTGGGAAGAGGCCTGGTCCTCCAGTGTGATGCTCTGGCTGCTGGCCAGGTGTCTCTATTGCTTTTTTTGTGCCCCTGCTGCTACAGTATGTTATGTGGCATACTGAAATCAAACAGAAGTGCAGCAGGGCTCGCAGCTGCCTGGTGTTGAGCCTGCTGGGCATCCAGGGCTGTTCTGGCACCTGCAGAGGCACCCAGAGCCAGCTGGGCTCCTTGAAGCTGGGCACTTGGGGCAGCCATGCCACTGCTCCACAGGGCCGGCCACTGAGGCCTGGGCCTGAGCTACCAGCCCCAGGACCTCTGTGCGAGGGTCACCTAGGCCATAACTGCAGGCACCACTGAACATCAGGAGGCACCAGCGTCCACTCTGGGCAGCACGAGTGACTGTGGTGAGGCAGATGGGGGGGACCCAGTCACAGGAGTCTGCCCAGGGACCTGGGGACATGGCTGGTAGCCCAAGGCCAGGGCCCAGCTGGGAGCATTTTGCCTGGCTGATGGCTCAGCTGGCACTCCAGCAGGGACCACGGGCCCATCATGGCCATCAAGGGGTGCCACTCCTGCCTTCACAGTCCCAGGCCTAGCTGCACTGGCTGCCCCTAAGGGGAAGCACCCACCCTCCTCTGCAGAGGTCATGTTGGCATGGCCTTTGCACACAGGGTGGTGGTAGGCAGGGCTGAGGGGCTGCTAACCTGATTCCCTCCTCCTTGTGGCTCCTTTCCTGGTGTTTCCTCTGTCCCTAAGGACCCTTTCTCTTCCCCCTGGTGGTTGTGTAAAGAATTTCCATTTATTTCTGGTTTGAAGGTGTTTGTGCATGGGGGACTGGTGGTAGGGTTGTGGAGAATCTCATGTGGGGTGTTGTTGGAATACTGAACTCTTGGCATTGGGGAAGTTTTGGGGAGAGGGAGGGGGAATAAAGTTGCTTTTGTTTTCACAATAACCCCACTGCCTATGTTGCTACAATCCTTGCCATGTGCGGGGATGGAGGCCCTTGGGTGGGTGGTCTGGCACAGGCGGTATGAAGGCTGGTGCCATATTCCAGGTAACAGGCCTGCAGATGGGTGGTGATGGCCTCACGTGCCCTGGCACCTGTGTACTGCCATCAGAGGGGGTGGTCCTCATCTACGACAATGTTCCTGGCTGGCCAGCTCTACTGCCACTGTCACTGGATGCACCGTGATACATGCATGGCTGGATGCAACTATGGTGCTGAGGGGGTTGATTGTTGTAGTTGGGACAGAGTACAGGGGTCACTCTATGTCAGGCCTGCTGCAGCAGTCCAGCTGGCACAACGGCCTAGCATCCCCAAACACCAACACGTTGGGCCTGAGAAGCTCCTGAGGGAAAGTAGCCGTGAGCTGCTCACCAGGCCACCAGTTGATACTGCTGGGGCTAGCACAGGTGCTAGCCCCAGCCTCCAGCTTTCCCTTGCTGAAGAGCTGGGAGGAGCTGGGCAAGCGTGGTTTGCCCAAAGTGGCACAGTTTGTCCTGCAGTTAAGTGTACATTCAGGCATACACGCCTATGCACAAATTACTGGCAAAAATTTGTGTTGCTACTATTTGTGCTGCTACAAGCCCATGTCCCTGCATGTGTGGATGCAGTCATCGTGTAAAGGAACCTATGGCACATCTGTGCAGAATCCTAAACTCACAAAGAATAAATCTCATTTTTTATGCATTGCAATGAATGCTACTTACCTCAGAATTTATTTCACAACTAAAAGTAGGGAGCAATTCACAGAAAATGCCTTTACTTGGATCCACATCTAGCAAAGCGCACAGAATTTAGTAGTTCAGAGAGGGAAATAAGTTTTATTACTCTTTTTAATTATACCAAGCAATGTAAAGCTGCTGAAGCCTTTGTGCAGCACAGAAGTCAGGGGGCTATTTCATCAAAACAAATACATAATAAAGAAAGAATATGATCAAGAATTTACCTTTTTGAACTTCTAAATCCCTATGCAAAAGTTTCAGGGAGACAGCCCAAAAAAACTCAGGGAAATCTAAATTACTTGCCAAACATCAGCATATGCAAATTAGAGAAATAAAAACAAATATTAATTAAATATATTACATTTAAATTTTCATTTCCTACTACTTTTAATTAGGGGGAGAGAAAAAAGATTTAACCAAAAAGTCTGTAACCTTTGCCAAATTTAAAAACTAAATATGATCAGATCTATCTGTAACTGACATCTAATAATATTGCCACAAGGATCTCTCCTTAAAATTCAGGCATGCCACATCTATTGGGAAATTTATGCAGTTGTCTACAGCTCCTGATGAAAAATGACTATTTAATCAGGTTAAGAAAAAAAATGATATGATATCAAGAGCCTTTTATGTGCCCCTTTATACCACACAGTATACCAGCATAGTAAAATATGTAGTTCAAAATGCTGATGAGAAGAAACATCACAGTACAATAATGCTGTGCCTTGTTTTGACCTGTACCTTCATTATATTAGAATACCTTTCAGTTTGCTTCTGGAACTCTAGAAAGATTTTCAATAAGGAAAGCAAGCACTATTTCATTTAGTGGTAAGGATAATAATACAAAATGCAACAGGATAATAGTATAGGTCATTTGTAAACTGATGTAGCTTTATTATTATTGGGCATGTTTATGTGTGCTCTGGGGTGGGGGAAGAGCACTTTAATTAAAGTGGCTCCCAAGAGCTGCTCTAATTAAAGCACCCTCAGCATCTCATGTATTCAGTGTCCCATGCTTCAAATGGTGGTGGGGGCTGCTGAACACATGTGATGCCAAGGCTGCTGCAGCGTGCTAATTAGATCTGATTAGAACACATCAGAGCAGGTGTCAGGCATGTGCATAGGTGCTCACTATGTCTTAATTAAAAAAAGACTGTGGTATTTAAAATATTAGTAAAATATTTAGACATAACATTCCTTGAAACACCACCTCCATGTGCAAAGGACAGGATTTAACATAAAGTCTGCCAGCAATTATTGTTGCTCAGTTCAGCTAAGGAGGAGAAAGCTAAGTGACTGCTTTGAGATGAAGTGTGTTACAGTCATTCTTGATTTTATGCCTTTTTTGCTTTTTTCATTTTATTAACAGGCTTACATTTTAGCATTTAACAAATATTTACTTATAAAGTTTGAGATACTGGCACAATAAATGTTTACTTATTAACATTCTATAAACTTTGAGATGGGTAAAAGGAAACCAAAATGAGCCCATTTTGCCTTGAAGAAGTGATGTCTCCACCTGAATAACTGGTGAAATTTCTCCATGATTCCATCTAGAGGTAGCTTGAAAGGGCACTGTCCTGGCAGAAATGCACAGAGTTGTTTGCAACATATGGAGACAATACATACATGCATCCTCTACATTTATACAGTGCATTTTATCCTGAAAGATCGCAATGTGCCTTAAAAACTAAAGGCCCAATCTAATGAACAGCATGGACTTCAGTGAAAACTGCATACAGAAAGTTTGCAAAACTAAATCCTTTATAATCCCTTCACCAAATCCACCTGTTTCTCTGGAGGAACAAGGCAGTTGTTTAAGGAATAATGTTTGGCACTAGATTTGAATAATACCTCACTCAGCTGACACTGTGGGACCAATAACGTAATTCCCCATATTGGAATGGGAGCAAAATAAAATAACAGTTTTGTGAAGATAGGGCAGAGAGCTCCCTTCAGGGCGTGGCTGAAGGAGGGAAGTGCAAGGCATTTTCCAGTCCTTTAGCTTTTCACTGTATTTATTATTCTGCTGCATATGGGGAAGGATGCAGGAGAACAGAGAAACTCAGATGTTGAAAGTTTAAGCCAAAGAATGGAAGGATTAAAAATCTGTACTTGTTTCTTTGTAACCAAAATATCTGTGGATACCACAGGTTTGCTTTGTAAAATAATAGGTCTGAAGTTTGTCCTATTTTAAAGGCTTGGAAACAAGAGGAGGTTTTGGGCAATGCCTAGGAGCAATAATGTGTCTGAACAACATATAACAGGTTAGATTACTGGCTCCAGTCCAAGGGAGAAAGATCTCACTCCCTAGCATTAGTTTTCCTTGGATCACTCCCATCCAAATACAGGCTAGAACTGATCCTACCTAAGAAGATGTGGCTGTCAACGTATTCATTCTACAATTTCTTTGCCCTCAAACAATAAAAGAATAAAAGGCAAAACTGTGCTGTGACAGCATCCATTAGAATGTATTTCTTAGTAAGGATGTGCGTGGGAGGGAGGACATTTCTAGCACAGTGCTCATCAAACTTCCAATGCCTAATATTACTTAATTTCTCAAACTTACACATAGAACCTAAATACTTTAGTTTTCAAGAATGATGAGATTCTGGGTGTCTCAATCTCTGACTGCCTAATTTGAGGGCTGAGAACTCACCTAAAAATTTAAAAAAAAACAACAACAAAAAAAACCTCCAATAGTGTTTTCAAGTCAGGCAACACAGAACTGAGGCAAATAAAATTACTATTTGGCTTTTGGAAACGTAGGACTAATGTATAGACTTGGCAGGCCATTCAGAATAAATGCTCCAGCTTTACGACTATGCAAGCCCTAGTATTTGATGTTAGGGGATACATAAATCTCTAAGGATTCTTAACTTCATGCAGACAAGTGCATGCCAGAGTCATGCAGAACCTACATGCTGAAAGGCTAAGCATTCTAGCTTTCAGTTAACCTCAACTTGGATCTCCATTTTTTTTAATCAGGCCCATATGCATAAAGAGTGTTGGCCCACATCTCTGCATGTGAAAATGAAGAGACAGTGGCAGCAAATGTGTTCCCTGAGCAGCTTCTGTGCACTATTAAAAGTCCTCTTTAAAAATACATTTCTAGATTTAAGGTTGGCTTCTCTTCCTCCTGCCACTACTGAATTGAATGCAGATAAACAGTCCAGAGATATTTCCAATATACCAAGGAGATGGAACTATTATTAAGTTTCATAAGGAATCATAGGATCATAGAAAATTAAGGTTGGAAGGGGCCTCAGGAAGTGATTTAGTATAACCCTCTTCTCAAAGCAGGACCACCCCTTAAAGATAGACTATTCCAGCCAAGGCTGTGTGTAGCCCGGTCTTAAAAACCTCCAAGGATGGAAATTCTGCAACTTCTCTAGATAACCTGTTCCCATGCTTTACTACCCTCCTAGTAAAAGGGTAGTATCTAACCTAAACTGCTCGTGCTGCAACTTGAGACCATTGCTCCTTGTACGTACTTGCATAGTAGTTTTGTTTCTCTCAACATGTCACTCTGGTTAGTTCTTGCTGCTTGTTCTTAGCGCACACAACTCCTCAAGATCAGCACATAGGGCATATCACTTCATTACTGGTGGGCTCATATAATTCCCTCTCCGTTTTTCTCAAACACATACATGCCTTATCTGTTTCACTTGGAACCTTCCAAGTAATCTTTGATCAGGTGAAAAGAAAATATCAGCCAATCACAAAAACAAAGTAGACAGTTGATGGCTTAAAGACAACAATGAAAATAAGTATAAAACACCACCTCAAGAAAGATCCCTTTCAAAGACCAAGGAGACAGACAGGTAGATGGGTGTGGGAGAGAGAAAATCTTGCCAGAAAACAATCTTCAGAGAAGTAGAATTATAAGGTAATCTGCACCACAAGGTAGAGAGTGTCTACCTCTTGGAGGTGGATGAAAGAAAAAAAGTGAAACCAGAACAAGTGCAATAGGCAACAAAAGCAAGGCCTATACAATGAGATAAAATATGGAGGAAGATACATGCCAAAGCCCTCCAACTTTTGATACTTTAAGATGTGTGGGAGTGTTTGGATTGCTCTGCTTCATAAAAGGTTCCACAGGAATAAGAGCACAGTAGGATTCTTCATTAGAGAGGCTGCATCCAAGTAGCAGTGCTTTGTAAATCTACGCAGTGAGGACTTCATTCCTTTATTTATGCCCAAGATGGAAACACTCCTGAAGCAAAGATGGAAAGCCCTTCTACTTCAGATGAAATGAGTCTTGATATTACTCTCAGGCATTAGGCCAGCCCAGCATAGCAATGTAAAATGCATCTGGAATGCTACTGCAGCATGTTTCTGTTGAGATTGTCCAGCAAATCTATACTAAATGAAATAAAAAAATCTTTTTACGGACCTGAGATCACTCCTGGGATAAAAAAGATCCTAATCAACAAAAAGAATGGGAAGGGACACAGCAGAAAAGATTCAGTTTAGCGAGGACTGTCTGAAAGGTCTATTCAACTCGTACATTATCTTATACCAAACTGCTCACCAGCTCCTTGGCATTATTTCTGTTCAAGTTCAGGTACCACAGGTGCTGCTGCTGCTCAGCTGCTGCAGCCTCTGGCAACTCCACTAAACAAACAAAACCTGCATAATTACCTCAGCACTTTTACTGTCTCTGTCCATGTCTCCTGCTCACTTTCCCATGGATCCACTCGAAGCCAGTCTGATGTCTCCACTGCGAGCTGAGCCATTGCTATCCGGTGCTTTGCAGAAGCTAGACCTTTCTTTCTGTAGTTGTCACTGACTGGAGAAATTATGCCTTCAATCACGTGGTATCTTCCTTTGGAAGGGAATAAAGAAAATCAGTATTTTATATCTTTTTTTCATGACAATAAAAAGGAAATCATAATTCATGTACACACTGAAAAACAATGTTCCTCTTCTTCAGTGATTATGCTGTTCAAAGTTCTGTTATTGAAGTATTTATCCATTAGACAATATTAAAAAGAAAGCTGGCTGAGTATAGGACTTCCTGCAAATAGAAACACTTATCATTTATAATGTAGATGATAAAGCTCACTGAAGATAAGGTTAATGAATTTTTAGTTCAAGTAACTGTACCAGTACAGCTTCTTGATAACCAAGATGATGAATGTTTTAATTGACCACTGTTTATTTCTAAGCATCTGATGCATACCATTTAACAACATTATCGAACCTTCTCATCATGCTAATGCAAGAATTACACCATGTTTCTGAAGCAGTTTTCTTCTGTTCTATTTAATAGCTCAAGCCAAGCAAATCTGTAGGTGCAAGAACTGGGTTAGATAATGAAGGCATTTTAAAACAAGACTTAAAACACCATGGGCAAAACATCCTTGCTCAGCTTATCTGCCATGCAGTTCACTTTCCATCTGGTTGATCATGTTAATTAAATGTGACAATATGCCCATATTTTTCAACTCCTGTAATGTGATGAAATCATTAACGCAATAAGCTCTTGTAGTCAGACTTTGCAGTCCCAAATTCAAATCAGGAAATAAACCTAGATAAAATCTTCTTATGAAAGCTGTAACATTTATCCAATTAAACAACAGGAAAAGGCAGCAACAACATGAGATCTACTTCCCTTGAACAGACAGGAACTGAGTGCAGAATAAAGCTGTTTCAAACAAATATGAATCATGAAGTTAAGATATTTCTGACCTCAAACACAGGTACTTTCCAATATCACTGATATAAAATTTCCCACCTAAAACAGAATTAATTATAATTGACTTTTTATGGAATTAAAATAATAAAGAAATTACTTTGACAACTTTGGCAAACGTTCTTTATTTTGCAAAGAAAATGAATCTCAGGGTTTCATCATTACTCTCTAGTGGAACAGGACATTGTAACTTGACAGCTTGTATCTGCACTTTATGTTACGGGTGAAATTCAGGACACAGAAATTTAGATACCTATATCCAATTAAAATTTCAATAGAATACATCTGCCTGTCTCCTTTGAAAGTCCCAGCCTAATGCTTCTCTTACAAACAGACAAAGTAATCTACATAGCAGAAAAATATTTCAGGAATAGGCAAAGATGAGATGTATGTTAGGGTAATTAAATCCATCTCTTGGCCTGAAAGGGTATTTCTATTCCATGGACATAGTCTATACGCTTGCTAAACCCACAAACCAGTTTCAAGTCAGGACCAGGTTTGCATTTGGGTTAGCTCAGAGGTTGCAATGTGATACCAGCATGTTTTAGGGCAGAACTGAAGTGGAATGAAAGTAATAAGGTGGTCTTTAAAACACAGACATCTGCTACTTGACACAAATGAATCGCCATTATTAGCTATACCACTCTTGCTTGTACCCGATGCAGTTAAATGAATGTTCATACACTTCAGTACATCCAACTTTCCACTGTACAATACACTCGTGTGTTTAGATTACAAGCCTTTATTAAACTCTGACACTGCCCTCCCTCCTTTAAATTTCCATCTGAAATTGTGTATCTTTCTCAGAATCTAAACCTCCTGTAACTTACTGCAGTCCCATTCTCAATTTAATGTCAACTATTCATGACACTCCTGTTTGCATCAATTCTCCTTAAATTCTACGTGCAGTAAGATACCATTTACTGATAATAATTATTCCTAAAATACCCAGAGCCTATTTCTTTTCAGCATCTCCTCATCCAAACAAGAATTCAGCTTTGTATTATAGTTTTAAGATCTACTTCTAGGTGCCACCTATGGTCAGCCTGAAGTTTTACAGCAAGTTTGTCCTTATGTTTGTATGTAATACTGGCTTTTTATTCTTTTTTTCTTAAACTAACATTTAGATAACTATAAAGTAACATATTCCAGAGGTAGGATTGCTGGCTTCCTCTAAAGCAGGCCATTACCACTCCAATCCCTTTCCCCTGCCCAAGCTGCCTCCTTCCCTGTGCTTTGTTTTCTTTTTACCCTATCTGCCACTGTGCTGCTTCTCTCTTCCCTGATCTGCCATGTGCCACACACAGGCTGCCCATGCTACTTAAGGTTAGTCACCCCTGCCCTAAAGGATTCATGCACTCCCTGGGTATACGTGACAGGGCTTAATTCTCATTAAATTAAATAAGTTTATTACAATAAAAATCATGCATCAATGTTTACAGGTGACAAACTTTAAATCAAATTAAGCTCAGTGCGCAATTCACAGTAAATTACAGCAGGGAGAGCCACATACCAATCCACCCCCTGCTGATCTCTTTTGGTACTCAGTTACAGCAGGGGGCGCTGGCAAACCAGTAATCCCCTCTCTCCCAAAATGCATTCCCTTCTCCCTCTTCTTCCCCACAAAGCTATAGCTGGCCGCAGGGATCCCCATGCCAAGCCATGTTCATCTCCCCCCACATTCCCAAACCACATGGACTCCCACCCACACCAATCTGCCTATGAAAGGAAACACGACACATCCGGAAGAAACTATAAATTGAAATCTTTATTTCAACTTTAATTTTTTTTCCCATGACGTGATTATTGTTCCTTAAAAAGAAAAAAACCTCATTATAAAACAGTTAAAAAAAGAAATAGGTCTTAAAAATAAATAACTTTAAGAAAAATAAATAATAAAAAAAAATTAAAAGCATTTACCTTAAAAAGAAAAAACACCCCATATAAAACATAGTAAGAAAATACAGTATACAAATATATACACTCTCCATTGCTTCCTTACTTACATAAATGTTTAATAAATAACTGCAAATAAGCAGAAAATGTCTATTCTTTACACACTATGCTATCTATATATATTCAATATTCTTTCCATACTCGTCTATCTATATACTATCCTATCTCTATTCTAATGTATTTTTATTATATTTGTATTCTGTAATGTATTCTATAATCTTTTATCTTCTATCAATGTCTTTATTCTTCATTCTGTTCTTCTATTTCTGCTCTTCTAAGAGTCCTGCATGGGAATAAAGAAGATGAGTTTTGGCCCATACTCCCAAAACCAACTTCTTGGCTTCCCCACTACAGGCTACAAAATCTGTGGGAGATTTCTGTCATTACCTAAATATTACCCAGGATGTTGTGTAGCTTTGGGGCGGGGGGGATCTGCTGTGTAACGGGTTTTTGGAAGGCAACAATAAGTAAGATGAATGTTACCCTGAAATATTAAAGTATTAAGAAGAGGTGCCAAGGTCCTCAATTGCAAACTTACCATTTGCTGCTGCTGCTCCAGCTGCAGAACCTCTTCTTAATTTGCAGATGCTGGTCCAGGCTCAGGGGTGCAGAGGGGAGTGGGGGATCATGTAAGTACTGGTAGGTAGTGTATGGACCACCAGGACCATGGGGTAGGTGAATACAAGTGGCACAAAGCTGGAGGGGCAGGGTGGGGGGAGTTTGGGTTTTGCCCCTCCATGTTTTTTCTTTTGTGAATGGATTCCATTTCCCAGCAGCCCCTGCCTGGACAGCTTGGTCCAGTTTCCATGGAGACCCCTGCAGCAGCTGCCCTGTGATAGTGCGGCCCTAGGGTTTCCATGGATACTGGCACAGATGTGTGTGGCTATATGCAATTTTGGGGTAGCTATAGCCCCCCCCCCCTTTAGCGCTGGCCCTGCTGGCAGGGCATGCAGCATGGTGTGGAGCTGCACTGCAGCCCCCCGGCATCTTGCTGCAGTGACAGCATGGCCCGTTGCTGGGGCAGAGCCATGATCTGCAGGCTGCCATGCCCCAGGCCATGCTGTCACCACCATGGGGGGGGGGG